CTTTCTACAGCTGGGTTCAAGAATTAAATGATGTCTTGGTTTTGGATTTCTGCTATTTTATGTATTAACCCTGCAAGTATTTCTACTGACAGTCAGATAATTAAGAGATTGGTCTCTGTGCTTCTAGGGCCGTGGCTGTGCAGGAGAGCCGCTCGTGGGGGGCAACTGGTGACCTCAGTCGGGCGTGAAGGACAGGCCGGAGCGCCCCCGTCCTATGAGGTACCCATCGCGCCCCCACCCCAGGCTCAGACCTGCTCTCCACCAGGCTCCCATGCGGCTGCCATCTTTCTTTCCAGAGAGGAGAAGGTGGAAGGGAGCAACACCCTTTCCCCTCCGGGCAGGCAAGATGGCGCGGATTAATGCATAGTCCATTCGCTTTTCTGCTCCAAGCTGCTGGATTTCTGTATTAAGTCCTTGTGCTTCTGGGGCCGTGGCTGTGCCGGAGAGCCGCTCGTGGGGGGCAACTGGTGACCTCGGTCGGGCGTGAAGGACAGGCCGGAGCGCCCCCAGTCCCATGAGGTACCCATCGCGCCCCCATCCCCGGCTCAGACCTGCTTTCCACTAGGCTCCCATGCGGCCGCCATCTTTCTTTCCAGAGAGGAGAAGTATACTAGCTATTTTATTTGAAATCACGAAAAAGATACACTGTCCTTAGCTAGACTCTTTTTTTTTTCCATTAGTGAAACACCTGGAGCTAGAGTGATAGCACAGTGGTAGGGCGTTTGCCTTGCACACAGCCAACACGGCCGACCCGAGTTCGATTCCTCCGCCCCTCTCGGAGAGCCCGGCAAGCTACCGAGAGTATCTCACCCGCATGGCAGAGCCTGGCAAGCTCCCCGTGACGTATTCGATATGCCAGACACAGTAACAACAAAGTCTCCAATGGAGACGTTACTGGGCCCGCTCGAGCAAATCGATGAACAATGGGAGGGCCTTTTTTTTTTTTTTTTTTTTTTTTTTTTTTAGTGAAACACCATGAGGTACAGTTGTAGACTTACAAACTTTTGTGCTTGGGTTTCAGCTATACAATGATTGAGTACCCATCCCTCCACCAGAGCCCATTCTCCACCACCAATGATTCCAGTAGCCCTCCCACCCTCCCCACCCCATCCCCCCACCCCGCCCCGCCTCTGTGGCAGGGCATTCCCCTTTGCTCTCTCTTTCCTTTAGGGTGTTGTGGTTTGCAATAGAGATATTGAGTGGCCATCGTGTTTGGTCTATAGTCTACTTTCAGCACGCATCTCCCAACCTGAGTGGATCCTTCAAACACCCTTTATTTGGTAGTCCCTTCTCTATTTGAGCTGCTTTCCCCGCCAGCATGTGCTGCCGGCTTCCAAGCCATGGAGCAGACCTCCTGGGACTTATCTCAACTATTCTTTTTTTTTTTGTAGGAGTACTGCTAATTATTCAGCCACTGATTAGCTGATTGAATTGTACATGAACTCCACCTTACTTTTTTTTTCATTTTTTATAATTTTATTATAAAATTATCGCGGGACCGATAGCACAGCGGGTAGGGCGTTCGCCTTACAAGCGGCCAACATGGCCGACCCGAGTTCGATTCCTCCGCCCCTCTCGGAGAGCCCGGCAAGCTACCGAGAGTATCTCGCCCGCACGGCAGAGCCTGGCAAGCTCCCCGTGACGTATTCGATATGCCAGACACAGTAACAACAAAGTCTCCAATGGAGACGCTACTGGGCCCGCTCGAGCAAATCGACGATCAACGGGAGGGCCTTTACCTTTACCTTTATAATTTTATTTATTGACTCACCGTGAGAGCAGTTACAAAGCTTTTGGGTCTAAGTCTCGGTCATACAATGAAACACTCGTACCTTCACCAGTGCCCATTCTCCACCACCAAAAACCCTAGTATACCCCATCCCACACCCTCCCCCCACCTGTGGGGCAGATGATTTCCACATTACTCTCTCTCTACTTTGATCACATTCAATATTTCGACACCAGACCCACCATTATTATTTGAGATTTTACCCCAACACTCAGATATGCTGAAAGGGCAACAATAGACAATTTGTGTTCTATTGCTGGTTATGAATAACATATGATGTTGCGTGGCTGCAGTAGAGCCATGTGATTTTGAAATTCCGAAATTTTAACACTTAAATCTGGAGGTATTTCTTCCAAAAGCCACTGGGTTTTGAGATTTGCTCCTGAGTCTCTGGGATCATGGCTCTTCAGCTGCTTGATCAGGAGCCAGGGAGGCCGTTTGTGGGCAATGACTTGGGGTCTCGTTGGGGTGGGGAGGACAGGCCCAGCTCCACCCCATCCCATGAAGCCCAACAAGTTTCGTCACTGCGGGCCCAAGCTTGACTGTCCAATGGCCTCTGGAGGATGGCGGCCACCGAGCCGCCAGGGGGAAACAGGCGGAAGGACAGCACCCTTCCCCCCTGGGGTGGCCTGGCGACAGTAACCTACTGCAGGGTCCGGACACATTTCTGCCAAAAGCTGCTGGGTTTCGAGATTTGTTTCTGAGTCTCTGGGATCAAGGCCATTAAGCAGCTTGATCAGGAGCCAGAGAGACCATTTGTGGGCAATGACTTGGGGTCTCACTGGGGAGGGGAGGACAGGCCCGGCTCCCTGCTCCATCCCGTGAGGCCCAACAAGTTTTATCACTGCAGGCCCAAGCCTGACTGTCCAATGGCCTCTGAAGGATGACGGCCACGGAGCTGCCAAGAGGGAGCAGGTGGAGTGACAACACCCTTTCCTCCCTGGGGTGGCCCGGTGACAGTAACGTACTGTGGGGTCCGGATGCATTTCTGCCAAAAGCCACTGGGTTTCGAGATTTGTTTCTGAGTCTCTGGGATCAAGGCCATTAAGCAACTCGATCAGGAGCCAGAGAGGCCATTCGTGGGCGATGACTTGGGGTCTCGTTGGGGTGGGGAGGACAAGCCCGGCTCCACCCCCACCCCATGAGGCCCTGTGTGTCTCGTCACTGGGGGCCCAAACCGACTATCCAGTGGCCTCTGAAGGATGGCGGCCACTGGGCCGCCAGGGGGAACAGGCCAAGGCACAAAACCTATTCCCACCTGGGTTGGCCCAGAACCGGTAACTTACTGCAGGGACCAGACACATTTCTACCTAAAGCTGCTGGTTTCCAAGATTCGTTTCTGAGTCTCTGGGATCACGGCCATTAAGCAGTTAAATCAGGAACCAGAGAGGCCTTGCCTCCAATTATATAGCTGAGCTGGAGGTGGTTGTGGTTGTGTTTCCACATACCTAACTTTTGGCTGTTTACTTTCTTGGTAAACTTTGCCCCAAGTTTTTGGAGTCTGGCCAAAGGCACAGCAGCAATTTTGGGGTATCTGGAAGTCTGAAGGTGCCATCAGGCTGCTGATGCACTCGCCTCACAGGTACAGATTGACCTGCTGGCAGCACCATACCCCCTCTCAACTATTCTTGGGTGTTCTTCTCCCATTCTGTTACTTTATATTCCCCAGATGAGTGCAGTCTTTCTGTCTGTTCCTCTCTTTCTGGCTCATTTCACTTAGCATGATACTTTCCACGTATAACCACTTGTATGTAAATTTTATGACTTCATCTTTGGCTGGAGTGATAGCACGGCAGGTAGGGCATTTGCCTTGCACGCTGCTGACCCGAGTTCGATTCCTCTGCCCCTCTCAGAGATCCCAGCAAGCTACTGAGAGTAACCCACTCCCAAGGCAGAGCCTGGCAAGCTCACTGTGGCGTATTCGACATGCCAAAAATAGTAACAACAGGTCTCACAATGGAGACATTACTGGTGCCTGCTCAAACAAATTGATGAACAACGGGAAGACAGTGCTACAGTGCTACATCTTTACTAACAGCTGCATAGTATTCCACTGTGTAGATGTACCAAAGTTCCTTTAACCAGTCATCTTTTTTTGGGCACTGGTCTTCTGGAATTTATGGTTTCAGAAATTCTTTGGCTTCTCTGATCAAACAAAAATGTCCCAAGATTTTTTATTAGCCTGCTCTACTGAGAAGCTTCTGGAAGGCCCTTTTGATGACCTGGTTTCTCAGGCTGTAGATAGATGAAGGGGTTGAGCATGGGAACAACCATGGTGTACATCACTGAGACCACTGCCCCCTTCCTGGGAGACGGAAGACAGCTGAGCTGAGGAAAACCCCAATGGCTGTCCCATAAATTAAGCAGATCTTGGACAGGTGAAGAAGGCTTTGGACCTTCAGCCTGTGGATGAAATTCTCAAAACAGAGGAGCCAATCTCCTGTAAGAGTACAGGATCTGGGCCAGAGCGATAGCACAGCGGGTTTCCCTTGCATGAGGCCAACCAAGGTTCATTCCCCAGCATCCCATATGGTCCCCCAAGCACTGCTGGTAGTAATTCCTGAGTGCAGAGCCAGGAGTAACCCCTGTGCCTTGCCAGATGTGACCCAAAAACCAAAAAAATAAAAGAGTACAGGATTCCCGAGATTGGCACACCTCCAAAGATAACAGCGACAAAATATATTTGTAAGTTATCAGTAGGTTGGAGCAATAGCACAGTGGGTAGGGTGTTTACCTTGTATGCAGCCGACCTGGGTTCGATTCCCAGCATCCCATATGGTCCCCCGAGCACCGCCAGGAGTAATTCCTGAGTGCATGAGCCAGGAATAACTCCTGTGCATCACCGGATGTGACCCAAAAAGCAAAAAAAATAAAATAGTTATCGGTTAAGATGTCCTCACAGGCCAGCCTGAGTAGTTGAGGGGCGTCACAGAAGAAGTGAGGGACTGCCACCTGGGTGCAAAAGATGAGCTGTGACATCATCAAACAACGCAGCTGGGAGTCCAGCAGGCTGATGCAGACGCACCCCAGAATCAGCCAGCCACAGAGATGGGGGTTCATGATGACAGGGAAGTGCAGTGGGTGGCAGATGGCCACGAAGCGATCATAGGCCATCACCCCTAGAATGACACTGTCCAAACACCCAAAAAGGATAAAAAGGGACAGTTGCACCAGGCAGCCGGCATGAGAGATATTTCTGCTCTGAGTGTGAATGTCCCAAATCATCTTTGGGACCGTGGAGGAGGTAAAGCTGATGTCGGCTGTGGACAAAACAGAGAGGAAGAAGTACATGGGCGTGTGCAGGCGGGGGTCAGAGCTGATGGCCAGCACGATGAGCAGATTCTCCGTGATTGTGACCAGGTACATGGACAGGAAGAGGCCGAAGAGGACCGGTTGGACTGGAGGGTCATCTGAGAGCCCCAAGAGGAAGAATTCCACAGGCCCTGTGACATTGTGTGAGCCCAGAGTGCAGAGACATGTTGGGGCAAAGAAATGAGAGAGGGTCCATCATTGTCAATAGTTTGGATCCAAGGAACCCACAGTCACAGCGACTTCCCTTGGGGCTTAGCCACTTTCACTACGAGCTCTTGGTTTGCGACAAACGTTCTTCTTAGCATCATTTTTCTCTGGACTTTTACTCCATCCTCCTGCTGTCTCAGCCTGGCTTGGAAAGGCTCAGTGACAGAAAGATGAGGAATGAGGAAAGATCAAGATTCCAAAAGTCAAATGAAATCAAAACAGTATCCAGGACTTTGTTTATTCATTCATTTATTTTTTTTTATGTAGGAGTACTTCTATTTATTCAGCCACTGATTAGCTGATTGAATTGGGCATAAACTCCACCTTCCTTTTCCCCCCCATTTTTTATAATTTTATTTATTGACTCACCATGAGAGCAGTTACAAAGCTTTTGGGTCTAAGTCTCGGTCATACAATGAAACACCCGTACCTTCAACCAGTGACCATTCTCCACCACCAAAAACCACCACCAGTATACCTCCGTCCCACATCCTCCCCCTACCTGTGGGGCAGATGATCTCCACATTACTCTCTCTCTGCTTTGATCACATTCAATATTTTGACACCAGACCCACCATTATTATTTGGGATTTTACCCCAACACTTGGCATATCGAATACTCTCGGTAGCTTGCCGGGCTCTCCGAGAGGGGTGGAGGAATCGAACTCGGGTCGGCTATGTTGGCCGCTTGTAAGGCGAACGCCCTAACCGCTGTGCTATCGCTCCAGCCCGATATGCCAAACACAGTAACAACAAAGTCTCCAATGGAGACGTTACTGGGCCCGCTCGAGCAAATCGACGATCAACGGGAGGGCCTTTACCTTACCTTTACCTTACCCCAACACTCAGATCTGCTGAAAAGGCAACAGTAGACAATTTGTTTTCTATTGCTAGTTATGAATAACATATGATGTCGCGTGGCCGTGCGATTTTGTAATTCCAAAATTTAACACTTAAATCTAGAGGGATTTGTGCCAAAACCTGCTGGGTTCCAATATTTGCTCCTTAGTCTCTGGGATCATGGCCGTTAAGCAGCTTGATCAGGAGCTAGAAAGGCTGTTCGTGGGCGATGACTTGGGGTCATATTGGAGTGGGGAGGACAGGACCGGCTCCACCCCCATCCCGTGAGGCCCTGCATGTCTCTTCACTGTGGGCCCAAACCTGACTGTCCAATGGCCTCTGGAGGATGACAGCCACCGAGCCACCAGGGGGAAGCAGGTGGAGGGACAACACCCTTTCCCCATGGTGTGGCCCGGCGACAGTAACCTACTGCGTAGTCCGGACTCATTTCTTCTAAAAGCCACTGTTTTTCGAGATTCGTTTCTGAGTTTCTGGGATCAAGTCCATTAAGCAGCTTGATCAGGAGCCAGAGAAGCCGTTCAGTGGGCGATGACTTGGGATCTCGTTGGGACGGGGAGGCCAGGACCAGCTCCACCTCCATCCTATGAGGCCCAACAAGTTTCATCACCGTGGGCCCAAGCCTGACTGTCCAATGGCCTCTGGAGGATAATAGCCACCAAGCTGCCAAAAGGGAGCAGGTGGAGGGACAACACCCTTTCCTCCCTGGGGTGGCCCAGCGACAGTAACCTACTGTGTGGTCCGGACACATTTCTGCCAAAAGCCACTGGTTTTCGAGGTTTGTTTCTGAGTCTCTGGGATCATGGTCAGTAAGCAGCTTGATCAGGAGCAAGAAAGGCCATTCATGGGCGATGACTTGGGGTCTCGTTGGGGTGGGGAGGACAGGACCAGCTCCTCCCCCATCCCGTGAGGCCCTGCGTGTCTTGTCACTGCGGGCCCAAACCTGACTGTCCAGTGACCTCTGGAGGATGGTGGCCACCGGGTCGCCAGGGGGAACAGGCCAAGGCACAAAACCTATTCCCACCTGGAGTGGCCCAGCACCGGTAACCTACTGCAGGGATTGAACACATTTCTGCCAAAAGCTGCTGGGTTTTGAGATTTGTTTCTGAGTCTCTGGGATCATGGCCATTAAGCAGTTCAATCAGGAACCAGAGAGGCCATGCCTCCAATTATATAGCTGAGGGGTGGGGGTGGTTTGTGGGTGTGTTTCCCACATACCTAACTTTTGGCCATTTACTTTCTTGGTAAACTTTGCCCCAAGTTTTTGGGGTCTGGCCAAAGGCACAGCAGCAGTTTTGGGGTATCTGGAAGTCTGAAGGCGCCATCAGGCTGCTGATGCACTAGCCTCACAGGTATAGATTGACCTGCTGGCGGCACCATACCCCCTGTATCCAGGACTTTAAATGAATGAGTGATGGCTTTCAGAATCTCATTTAGAAAAAAAAAGCGCTAATTAGAGGACATTACTGGGACTAGAGAATTAGGGTTAAGTGGTCTAAGGAAGTGATGAGGTGGGTGCAAGTGGTTAAAATAAGGTCATTGATGGAGGGTCTGGGGTGCTAGGACAGTGGTGCGTGAAGTAATTTATCAATCCTATAAGTGTTACAACCATTATAAATACATTACCTATAGCACTGTAGCACTGTCCTCCCATTCTTCATTGATTTGCTCAAGCGAGCACCAGTAATGTCTCCATTGTGAGACTTGTTACTGTTTTTGGCATATCCAATACGCCACAGGGAGCTTGCCAGGCTCTGTCGAGTGGGTGGGATACTCTCGGTAGCTTGCCGGGCTCTCCGAGAGGGGCGGAGGAATTGAACCCAGGTTGACCGCGTGCAAGGCAAATACCCTACCCGCTATGCTATCGCTCCAGCCTACATTACCTATATCTATAATAAAAATAAAGAACACGAATAAGTACCATTTAATTTTAGTCAAACAGAGCACTTAATTCCCTTGCTGTGGATTATTTGTAACCCCCCTCTAATAAAGTATCTAGTTTCATTTTTCTTATCACTAGCTTTGGCTAATGTTTGCTGGTGGTGGTGGTGGTGATAGTGTGTGTGTGTGTATGTGTGTGTGTGTGTGTGTGATATTGAAGATGAACGGGGCTTCACATATGCCAGGCAAGTGCTCTACGTCTGAGCTACTCTCCCAGTTCCCCTTCCTGTTTAAATATTAGTCTTGTCATGTACTTTCTCCTTCTGCCCAGAGCTTGGGAAAGAAATAAAGAAGGTTTAATCTTTCACTTAGAAAATAAATAGGTTGTGGGGGCTGGAGCTCTAGTGCAGTGGGGAGAGAGTTTGCCTTGATTGTGGCAGACCGGGGTTCAAGTCCTTCCAGGAGAAATTCCTTAGAGCAGAGCCAGGGGTAGGCCCTGAGCATTGTTGGGTGTCACCCAAAAGCCAGAAAGAAAGGAGGAAGGAAAATAAGAAAGTAAGAAGAAAGGAAGGAGTGAAGGAAGGAAAGAAGGAAGAAAGAAAGGAAGGAGGGAAGGAAGGAAGGATGGAAGGAGGGAAGGAAGGAAGGATGGAAGGAGGGAAGGAAGGAAAGAAAAATAGAAGGAAGGAATACATCTTGGTGACTACAGTTAATACTATTGTTGCAATTCAAGCATTTAAACACTGCTGAAAGTATAAATCTCGAAAGTTCTCATTAAACAATCAAATAGTTGAAGCTTTGAATGGAGCTACAGATGAAATAGAATCCATGTGGTGATCATTTTGCAAAATGTTAAAACAAGTCTTTTATCACCAGAAACTAAAATAACGTTATCTCCGTCACTCAATCATATTGTGAGAAGAAATTAGAAAACCGTGGCCAGAGTGATAGTGTAGCAGGTAAGGCATTTGCCCTGCATGTAACTGACTCAGGTTTGAACCCTGACATCCCCTCTCTTCCCCATACCCACCAAGAGTGATCTCTGAGAGCAGAGCCAGGAGTAAGCCCTGAGCGTCACCGGGTGTAAACCAAAAACCAAAAACTAAATCACAGTAGCACCTTTGTGACAAGAGCAAATGTACCTCTGCAGGACACTCCCTCGAAACTCTCACCTTCAAAACCACCATAAATTAAACCAAGACAGCCCGTTCCGGCACTTTTGTGAGATTTCAAACAAGTGTTTTGGCTTTGTTTCAGGGCCATACCTAGTCATGCTCAGGGCTGACTCCTGGCTCTGTGCTCAGGAATCACTCCTGGCGGGGTTGAGGGGACCCTGTGGTGTGCTGGGGTCCGAATCTGGGTCTGCCGTGTGCAAGGGAATTTCCTCCCCACTGTCCTATTGCTTCAGCCTCTCAAACAGCTTTGAGACATTCTCTGCTTGCTGCCCAGACACAGACAGTCTCTTTCCTTGTCGGGGTGGCACTAATCACCTCAAGATGCCAACCAATTCCAGACTGCGGCTCCATCCAGCTTAGGCAGATCTGTGGAACACCGTGGGGCATTTCAGGAAGAGTTTGGGGTTGGGGAGATTCATCAGTAATGAATTGGGAAGGTCAAAGGCTAGAGATGCTGGTGGGGAAAGCAGAATATTTCCTGAGAGCCGTGAACCCCAACACTGAAAAGCAAACACGAACGCCCTGTGTGTCTCTCTGTGTGCATGACCCAGAATGATGCACAGGTGTCCCATGTCTGTTGCGGGCCCCACTTGCCTGGGTGGGGAGACAAGAGTCAGGCCCAGCCTCCCGCACCCAGACGAGCACTCACTCGTCTCTGCGTCTCTGCAGGCTCATGCTTTGAGCTGGGCTCTGTGCCCGGGTGAGGGAGGAGAGCTGAGACCGTGCTTGGGACGGGGAGGAAGGAGAGGGCGGGCATGAGCCTGCACAGGTGCTGGTGGTGAAAGGTGGCCCAGAGGTGAGCCCCGCTGAGAAATGCCCTCCAGGCTGCAGGGCTGACTCCTTATGATGCCGCCACGGCCTTGAGGGATCAAGACACGGAACTTGTGGGAAGATTCTCGATTCTCATTAGCCCAGTCCCTGGGAACT